GACAGCGTGATTTGCTCTTCTTCGTTCTTAGTGTTTTCATCATTAATTTGTTATATCGATGTCATAATTGCAAGTTCATTGTTGTATTAATAAATCTATCACAACGAAGGTTTAATTACCCAAGTTTGAGGCACTACCAACTAAAGAGGCAGAAAGAACCCCAAGTTTTTGTCACGGTTGAAGGAAATCGGCGACAAAAGAATACACCATTTGTAGCGTTTGCAGCAAGGTGGGTAAAACCCTTCCCTAATCTTTGTTCGTAAAGCCTAGCTATGATGTCAATAGTGGGAGTGACAAAAGATTACCACAATATACATATCACCGTTTAACGGAACGGACTGGAAGATTACAATAGAGAAACTTTGTTAGTTACAGTAAACTAGCTTGAGAATATAGACTTGGCTAATATTTTGGAACATGTTCGAACAAGGAACGCTGTCAACACCTACAATCCAGATAACGTCAAAATGGAATAACCGTTGAAATAGAATAATCAATGGCAAGAAATACAAAATTTAAACATAGCAAATTTAAAAAATAAAAGTTGGACAAATGGTTCATTGCTTTAAAACTGAAACATTTATATCTTCATGTTATTGCTAATTGTGTGTGTCATTCATTTAACAAATATTCAAATTACAGCAACTTCCACACATGTTATTACCAGTCTACATCAGTTATTCTAAAATTATTGTAATAGAAACAAAAAAAAAAAACGTGGTTATTTCGACATTTCTATATATTTTGGTTTTTATACAAATATATAAAAGCATAGCTTTCTACAAATACATATAAGCTCCTTACTTTTCTTCATTAACAGATTTTCAGTTCTTTGACAGATCGTGTACAGCTTGACTTTGCAGTAAATTTACTGCAAAAAAATGGCGATTGTCCGAAAAACCGAAATAATTGCATCATAAAATCATTCATTTAAATAGTTTACATTTTATATTTACTTTTTCTCTCATGCTCAAAGTTATGAGTCAGCTATCAAATCTTTAAATCCTATAAATGAGCTTTATCTGATGTTGAGATTTGCGTACATCTGGATGACAACGAATCTTATAAACATGGATGGGCATACTGTAGAGATATTTAATCTTATAAACATGTTTATATATCCAACATGTTTATCTCTAGATATCTGTTAAGCATCGCATTTTTTTCCTTTCTCCTTACACACTGCTTGTATAAACATAAGGAATCATTCATTCATTGTTGCCAAAAAGCCATCTGTCGACACTCAGGTTCACACAAACGCTCTTCATCTATCTTTTCCAATCTACTAATCCTTACAAAATCTCATTATTCTACTGGCTTTACCCTGGAAGTCATTCTATTGTAATTGGAATTATTTGAACCTATCTTCACTGTATTTGGTATCCAGACGATAATAAAGGATAATCTGTTGTAAGTTTCGAACACACAACGAACTGATACACTGTCAGTCATTCCTTTAACACTTGACAGCTTCCACAACGAACAATAACAATCTCTCTCACCTTCTTAATTTCCTTTCTTTTAACTGTCACGACAGCGATAGACAATAAATTCAGCCGTTCTATCTCCTTTTTCGGTATCAATTTCATTTTTTATGACAAATCAGATGACAGAGCAAAGGAAAAATTGCAAAAAATTCTTTTAACATATAATTAAAAATTTTGAAAATGCGAAATTCGTCTCTTATGTTAAGAACAGCTGAAATCATTTTAAAATACAGGATAGGGACTTTCTGCGAAGAAAGCATCACAAGAATATTTCAATGTATATAAAGGAATTAAGTTGTTTTGGCAATGATTAGTGATGAAAAGCAATATTGATCGAAGCGATGACACTTCAGCAGAAAAGCTATCACAAATTTGCAACTGATTACGATTAAAATATACTTTTTAAGTTGGATAGTTTGAGGAAATGGTCAAGATCACCGAAAAGGCACAATGAACGGTATCCATTACTGCTTGTCATTTGAAGCAATAAACTTGCGCATTATATCATCTTCAGGAAGTGTGGGCCAATTTTCAGTCAGGCTATAATTCCTCATATTCTCGTGTTCTATTCCTCATTTCCTGCTAGACCAAATCACAGCACAATTGTCTCGCATCTTCCATTTAGAGAACGAACAGCTTGCAATGAGACAAACACCGCAAAGGCAATAAAATAACACAATCCATTCCTTTCTATTCTTTATCGATTGCCGGCATTATTTCATCCCTACTGAAGACAAATAGCGCTAATATTCCTATGCGCAATAAACTTGCGTAATGTGCACAAAAGGAAGTCATGAATGATATTTGGGAAAAAAACAAAAAAGAAAAATCCCTCTGAGCATTTAACGTTGTGGGGAGCATACGTACGTGATACGTGAGAATCCTTTGTTACTATTCGAAACGGATATAAGTAAGAGAGGCCGGAAGAACGCAGCATTGTTCTAATCGTTAAGTTTAGCAATCATTACTTATGGATCGAAGCTAAACTGAAAGAAAGATTAGTTTGGGATGTATGTGACGAAAATCTGAACTACGACAACAACTTCAGATCGCTCTCTCTTTCAGCAATATTTTAAGAATTCCGACAAAAAGAAAACAAGCGAGGATGCATTGTAAACATAAACGTACGCAATCAGAATCGAAAACATTTTTGTCACCAATTTCTTTTTTTAGTAATAAAAATGGATTTCTTGGTGCCATTATGCAGAGATATGAAAACAAAAAATACTGAATGTTGGGATATGACATTATCGATTGATTTGCGCATTTTCAATAAATTCCCGCAGACTCGTGGACGCTCAAAAATTTGAATTTATATATTTCAGGGAAAGCCAAAAAGTTCCTTTCAGGAGAACAGAAAAGCTGAACAAGAAGTTTGCGAACTTCTTATGTGAAAACGTTATGCTTAACAACTATTATCAGTCAGCAGTGAAGTGAATCAGAGATAAACGTTGATAAGGGATGTAGTTCAGAATCTTATCAATATCAGGTTTTTACATTGATAAGAAAAACAAAAGTTAGAATAAGTTATTGGCAAGAAAACGTAAACAAGTAAAACAATAAGCATTCGATGTCGCGAATAGACGTGAAGTTCGGTGATAAAGAGAAATATAAAGATTCATAAGTGAATGTGTTGTGATGTACTAATGTGAATTGACATGTTGGATCGTGATTAAGATTTAAAAATTATCCAAAGTCATTTCTAAATGAGTAGGATGTTATCATTGCATAGAACTGTGTTCATTGTTTATCATTATAGGTGAAGATCACTATACTATACTCTAATATGTGCTAACAAAAGCGCTATATCAATGTGCGCTAATGAAGAGTACTTTATCAATCAATGTACGTTAACAAAGGCGCTAATCTTTGTTTGTATCATTTGTAATTGTTAAACCAAATCATAAAGGATCAGATGTGGAAATAAAGAAATATAAATTCTGCACATAGCTGAATATCCATTCTTCCTTTCTCTTACTTTTCAGATTGATGTCTTTGAAATCCATTTTCTGGCGACATTTTAGAGCTTAACTTTAGCTGTTGTGTTTTGTAATTCTTAATGGTTATGCGATGTTATTATTGCTTCTTTTGTCTAATTCTTTTGTAATTTCAGGGTGGAAATAAATAAAACCTTGCAATTTTGCTGTCTCATTCCGCGAAATATCTTTAAGAAATTTATAAAATTACCATTTTAGTCGGTAACTGAATACCTTGATTCCTTATTCACAATAAACTTTCATGTTTTCTACGACTAAAATCTAGTATGAAGGAGAATTTCAGACTATTGGTAAACAGTTTCGTCAAACGTATGTAACACCTGTTTTTTAAAGCATGTCTGTGCAGAGAATTCAGAGTTATGTTGAATATTAAAACTTTCCAAACTTTGTCACCGTGAATATCAGATTCAAATAGCACTAAATAAGCCTAAAAATTTATTACAAGCATTGTTCAGTTGACAAATTGGCCTGCAAATAGAATAGTTTTCAAGTCTTTCACGATTGCAAAAAGGAATGGTTGATCAGCAACGAAACGGTACGACGGAAGTGTGCGAAACGAAAGCTCAACTGTAGTGGCAGCTGCTGATTCTGTCCCTTTTTCATCTACCTGTAACAAACAATTAAATTAAAATTTCAGATTATTTGTCAGAAAGAAACTTTCATAAAATTTTTTGTTGAAGAAAATACCCACAAACCTCAATGAATCCTGCATGCATAATTTTGTTAACGAAATTGGAAGTGTATCGTTTACAAGCTCTGCGAAATTAGCTGTATTGCTGAAAGCATCTGTGATGCCAATTTCCTTCAAAGCACTAGTCAGATCCCATTTTTCTTCCACTCGAAATTTTGGCAAACTGATCTAAAATTAAAACACTTTGAATTGATATCAACAAAGCCTTTTCAATATTTGTTTGGAAGGAAAAAAATGAATAAATTAGATGGGAAAATCAGAAATCACAACGGAATCGTTCATCGAAGGTTGTCTCCATAATCTTATGTATCGATTTCTTTAAAGGTAATTACAATTAGAAGGATGACTTACGGAAACGCTTTGTAACTGTGCATCACGAATATATTTGAATAGCTTTTCGCCAGTCAAAAATTTCAAAACATTGGCTAAACCAAAGCGTGTTTTTGGTAATATGAAAACCATTTCTACCTCATTACCAATGTAAGGCAGTTTAATAACTTGTACAGAATCATCTCCGTAATACGGTACTTCGTCCATTTTTATCATCATTGGTACCTGAGTGAAAAAAAAAATGAAGATAGTGGACATTGAACATGTTCCACTTATTCAACATGCAAGCATTCAAAGATCAATATTTGCAAACTTCTTGTTGTAACTTATATTTACATATTTACCAGTTTTTTTTCGTTTTCAGAAATATGAAATTCCCTTTGTGCAGTTGCCATCTTCATGAATTGTGATTCCCAAGTGCCTTTAAAATAAATTGCATTCAGGAGTAATATTCTGGTATCCCCGTCGATAGTATCCCTTGTTATTATATTCCTGATTTTATTGTTAGTCTTACTTGAGATCCAACCATTGATTTGCTGAAAATGAATTTTACTGTTTATAAACATAGATGTAATGATGGTGGAATTTATAAATTTAAATCTTCTCATAAATATAAAACAACAACAACGGTCGCCTTATCCCTTTTTCCTAATTTCACTTTTACCCATTTCCCTATTCATATCACTTCTGCTTATCACTACTAATCATACCTGAATAAGTTCATCTTTCTGCTCGAGATTGAATTTATGTAATGTCTCGTTGTAATGATAATAACGAAGCACTCTTTGAAAGCTATCTTTTGTATGAAAGCCTTCGCGTACATAAAGACGACTTGCTATATTTAGGGTGTAGTTATCATTTCTTGCTACTGCAATACTTGCCAGTTGTTTGTAAAAGTGTATTCGAAACTGTGATAGGCTTGCATCTGAAAATTAAGGTATATGTTTAATTAAGAAATAATCATTTTATCATTTCTGGAATATACCCATCCAATGATAACATT